ATAAAATGCATTGCTGTTCTGTTGTAAGTAATCTTAAAGATTCCTAAATGCATCTACTTTCGGAAGGCCAAATAAAGCAATTTTGCTTTCTCCTAGAAACACACAGCGTCTCCCTGACATGCTGCTTCAACACTAACTGCGGTTACTGAAACCACGCCTTCTTTCTTTGCGTGCACATTTGGGCGGAATTATGCAAATATTTCCACATAGTGAGGTAGATATGTGGGGCCGTGTTAGAATGAGCCATTTTAGGGGGGCGTGGCAGAGTCTTAACTTTGATAAAGAATATCTCTTTGGTTTTGAGACTTTAGTCTTTGCAACTTCAGGGATCTTATCTATGCACAATCAGCTTGAAATCAACTTGAAATCAACTTGAAATCACATCATATGACCCCTTTAAAGAAGGAAACTGGAAAAATGCAATCAGACCAAAAAAGGTCTATCAAAATATATACTTTATTTTCCATATTTCCATATGCTGGAGCACTGAGGAAAGCATGGGCTGAAACGTTTGCTCCTTGGTCTGTTTCTAAGCCACTTTGCACTTTTGTCACTTTTTCACTTTTGCCTATGGAAAATAAAAGATAGTTTTGATAGACCTTTTTTGGTCTGATTGTATTTTTCCAGTGTGTGGACAATTTCAGCTACCTGGTTGTCTAAACTTCCTCTTTTTTTTTCTATGCACCTGAGAATTCATTGTTTTTTCCTGCTTGATAGCTTAAATTACAAGGCCATCAAACTAATGTTTGCAACGTAAATGTTTAAATAAATCAAACAATTTCAGCTCTCCCTCATAGGAAAATAAAAACAACACAGGAAAGAAAACTGACTCGAGCCATTTCATGAGCTCCTTTAGAATGTATGAACTAAAAAAATACAGGGGACCTAGTAGCAAAACTTAAATAAACTGGTGTGCTGGATGGAGATAACACAGGAGAAAAATATATCTGAAAATGAGTCTCAGCTCTCCTCCCCCTTTCAGCTCATTATCTTGCATACATTAGCACAGTGGTACTTTTCCTCAGTTTTGGTTCCTCAGACTGAAATGAGCCATGAATCTTATTTTATTGGTGGGAAAGAATGTTATAGTGCATCCCCTTCAAGTAAAGCAAAGTGTGATTAAATTCCAACCCAAGCTTCTTTATTTTAGGATGATGTTCTCTGGTCAGTGTTTTCACATACGAAGATCTAAAACGATATGATTTACCTATAATAAAACATAATAACTTTTCTCCAGCATGCTGGGTTAAGTACATTGTAATCTACATTATAACCCTATAACCTGATTATGGTGTGTAGATAATCTTTGCAGTGTTTTTACATAACTATTTCTCGATTTTAACACCCTGTGTTTGGTACTTGATAATCGTTTCACAATTCTCAGGGTTGTCACCTAAAACTGAGAGGTTGAATTAAATTTCATTTTTTTCTCATCAGGCTTGATTGTGTTTCATTTCCCTTTCTCCAGTTTCTATGCATTTACTGGGTCTGTCCCTGTCTACTGGTTACCAGTAAAAGAGGAAAACAGTACAAGCTCAAAGCATGCAAATGACAAAAAAAACCTGACACAATGATACATGATGAGCAGTGTTGGGAAGGGTACTTTGGAAATGTAATAGGTTACAGGTTACAAATTACCCTATTTAAAATGTAATAAGTAGTGTAACTATTTCAATTACTTTATTAAAGTGTAATGTAGCTGATAATATTTCATTACTTTTTGATTGCTTTTCTACATTACTAATGTTTTCAGTTGTTAATCATTTTCAAACATTTAAACCAGGCAAGGTTAACCTTACAATAGTACTCAACACTACAACCCCAACCCCAGAAAAGTTGGGACATTTTGTAAATTGCAATAAAATCAAGAATCTGTCATTTGTTCTTTTTCTTTAACTTTTATTTAACCAACTTAAATGCATTTTGTAAATATAAACAAAATTAGATTTTGATGGACTCCAAAAAAAATTGGGACAGAGGCGAAAATAAAAGAGAAAAGCTTCAAGAATATCCCAATTAAACTGTTTTGAAACCGTTCACAGTAAGCAGGTGTATTGGTAACAGGTCAAGGTATCATGTTTGGGTATAAAAGGAGCATCTCAGTCTTTGGAAGCAAAGCTGGATCATGACATATCGCTTTGTGCCAAATTTCATTAGAGATACTGTTTGTGTGTGTGTGTGTGTGTGTGTGTGTGTGTGTGTGTGTGTGTGTGTGTGTGTGTGTGTGTGTGTGTGTGTGATAAAAATTCAGATGTAACCCCCTTTATAATTGTTAACATTTTCATTCTGATTTTTTTCCTCAGTATAACTGTAACTGATTACAGTTACATTTATTTTGGGTAACCCTTTATTTTAAGGTGTTCTTGTTACACGTTTCATGTACTTACTATTATAATAACAATACATTATGCAGAATTACATGCAAGTAACCCTAAGACAAACCCTAACCATATAGTAAGTGCATGTAGTTAATTAATATAATTCAGTACTTAAATGTGTACTTACACTGTAACAAGGACACCTTAAAATAAAGAGTAACCTTATTTTGTAATGAAATAATGTAATTCCGTTACATGTAACTAGTTACTCCCCAATACTGATGATGCGACAATATGTGTAATCATTCAGGGATTTCCCCCTTAAAATCACTTTTTTTTGTCTTCATGTCAGTGTTTTTAATGAGAAGACCGTTTACCAAGAAAAGTGGGTGATTGGTGAAACATTTTTAACTAAATAACGTAACAGCATGTTGGCTTCCAATTTGAACGTAACACAGAGACATTAAAAATGTCCCTAAAAAGTGTAAACACAAACACATACGTGATGTAATCATTCAGGGATTTCCCCCTTAAAATCACTTTTTTTTTTGTCTTCATGTCAGTGTTTTTAATGAGAAGACCGTTTACCAAGAAAAGTGGGTGATTGGTGAAACATTTTTAACTAAATAACGTAACAGCATGTTGGCTTCCAATTTGAATGTAACACAGAGACATTAAAAATGTCCCTAAAAAGTGTAAACACAAACACATACGTGACCCTGGACCACAAAACCAGTCATAAGTTGCACGGGTATATTTGTAGCAATAGCCAACAATACATTGTATGGGTCAAAATTATCAATTTTTCTTTTATGCCAAAAATCTTTGGGATATAAAGTAAAGATCATGTTCCATGAAGATATTTTGTAAATTTCCTACTGTAACTATATCAAAACGTCATTTTTAATCAGTAATACGCATTGCTAAGAACTTCATTTGGACAACTTTAAAGGAGATTTTCTCAATATTTAGATTTTTTTTTGCACCCTCAGATTCCAGATCTTCAAATAGTTGTATCTCAGCCAAATATGTATATGTCCTATAATATTATAAATATGTCCTATCCTAACAAACCATACATCAATGGAAAGTGTATTTATTGAGCTTTCAGATGATGTATAATGATCTCAATTTCAAAAAAATTACCCTTCTAACTGGTTTTGTGGACCAGGGTCACATATGTGCTGGCCCATTATATTGAATTTACAATTGCACCTTTACTATTTGTGCAACAGATATGCGTTAGTGTTAAGAAATTGTTAGTAAAATGTTACATTTATTTCTGATGCACATTTTATTTGTGCTGTTTTATTAGTAAAGGTAAAGTGTAAAGTGATCTTGTGTGGTTTTAGCATGAAGCATTGTGCATCATCTATGTGTGCACAAAACCACAGGTTGAGTTGTTTCCGAAGCTTCTCTGTAACAGATGTATTTGGGCACATGCATATGAGCCCATATATGTGGTATAATGACGCTGAATCACACTTTTTTCATAGCGCCTCATTGTCATTGGTCTTCTTAAACACCCCTGCACTGTCAGTTAGACACTGCGGCATTCACAGAGGAAGTAAGATATGATGCACTCCCACTGCCAGTGACAGATTTGAAGAGCACAGTCACAAAGGGCGAGTCCAACTGTCTTAATTGAGGATTATTCTTTGGGGCATCTTTACAGAGTAAATTAAAGGTAAGTATATGAAATTTTCTTGACTTTCATGTTCATTCTAATTTAAGTAAGTGATACTTTCCTTACTGTACTCACATTGTTGCTTATTAAAAATAGGGTCTTTTTAATAATGTCTTTTATAACATAGGCATGTTTTCATAAAATTTCCAGTTCATGTTTCATGTCATTTGACATTTTTATTTATCTTAATCTGTTTTCAGCAAGTAGTGTTGGAAAAGTAAACTACTGCTTGTTCTGGTAAAGGAGGTCGCACAGGAAACGCACGACAGCCCGTCAAATTCTACACGGGCCTCTATTTAGCAGTTTCATGTGTTAGATTGCGCTATGTCTGGTCCACCTTCAGTTTTGGGGGAAGAACAGGAAAGCTTTTTTCTGATTTTACTGAGTCAGTGATCTTTATGTTGTGGATGCAAGCAGTTTGGGAAAGAACACAAGGTCTTGATGTGAGAGAACAGTTTAACATCAGCTCCGTGTGTTTGATAACTTTTGCAGAACGCAGTGGAAGATGTCGTGCCTGAAGTGTCTAAAGTACACCATGTGTGTGGTGAACTTTGTCTTTTTTGTATGTATCCATTCTCGGACTGTCTCATCATTATAATATACAATGGCTTTTCACATTTAGAATTGTTCATCTCAGGCCATTCTAAACCCGCTCTCTTGTTTGGTTGAAATTACCATTACAGGTCTGTGGGGCTACTGTCTTTGGATTTGGCATCTATTTGATGACATTCTCCAGGTTCTCTTCCCTACTCCCCAGTCTTCAGGCTATGAGCATCGCAAACTCGGTTTTCCTCACTGGGATCGTTATCACCTGTGTCTCCTTTTTGGGCTTTCTTGGAGCCCTGAAGGAAAATCGTTGCCTGCTTATATCTGTGAGTCTCAAGAAGAACATTGTTAGCATCCATCATCACTTACACTTGCATATTCTCTGTTGTCCACTAAGGCTGATGATACACTGGGCAACTTTTTGAGCAATGTTGCCAGGCAACCTTGGTTAATGTTGCTGTCAGCGGGCAACCAGGTGAGACACAGGGCCCATAACCAATCTAAAGTATCCAGATAGAAATTTGTTACTCGTTCTCAGTGGGAAAGTGCCCAGGAAACATTGCTGACAAAAAGTTGCCTGGCAAAATTGCTCAAAAAGCTGCCCGTGTATCATCAGCCAAGTTTAACTTTCTGGGTTCTTTATAAAAAAAAAATTTTTTTTTAACTCGGGATCTCTTTTTGTTTGGTTGGTTTAGTTCTTCATACTGTTGCTCATTCTAATGTTGGCTGAGCTGACTGGTGCCTGCCTTTTGCTGATGTACGAGAGAAAGGTAAGAAACTGAATTTGAATTTGGAAGCAGAGTACATGTGAGGAAAAATTTATCAGACTGTGCTTTTTACTCACAGATTGAGGAGTTCATTAATAAAGATCTTAAGAATGGTTTAGAAAAATCCAATGAGAGCAGACGCAATGGAACAGTTGAAGATGACTGGGACAAAGTGCAAATGGCTGTAAGTGTCCATTTAGACTGTGCTTCTCTTTTATTTCTTGAGAAAAGTCAGCTTACTCATCATCACACATAGGCAGCAGAATATTATGCTGTTTTTTTCTTTACAGGCACACACTTGTTCTTAATAAATAAATACTCAATTACAGTTTTTCTTATAAATCAACAGTTTCATTGCTGTGGAATCCGTAACCATACAGACTGGGGGACACATGTACCGAACTCATGCATCGAGTATAGAAATGAAACACATTATTGGCCGCAGGTAATACTGCACTCATATCCATCTCTATAGGAGCTATATAGCAAAACTATATTAATGAAACACAGATATATGGAGATGCACATCAAATTTACACATCTGTGCAGCCGATTCAATCTTATATCACATGTATTGTCTTGATTGTTGCACTTAGGGTTGTTTCACAAAGCTGAAGGGTGCATTTGATGAAAACCTCTTGAACACAGGGATTAGTGTCATTGTTGTCTGCATTATTGAGGTACGAGTTTCCATATGAGGCTTTATGTCTTGTCATAGTCACCTTAGCTAATCGAAATAAATTGTATGAGACCCCACATAACAGATTAAAAATTATTAAATGATTATCATTTATAGGACTATATATCAGACTACATATATCAGGACTATATGATATATCATTTATCAGTTTTGTTTAGCAGCTATTGCTTTACACTTCATGCAGATCACTAGTGTAATATGATAATTAAAGGTATTTTTATTAACATGACTAAACATAATCTCTCCCCTTGTAGGTCTTGGGTATGTGTTTCTCAATGACCCTGTTCTGCCACATAAATCAAACTGGGTTAGGATACAAATGATCAAACACAATGTTTCCATATTTCACAGTTTGTGTTTTTAATAACTATTGTCACACAAATACCCAAAGACAGCCAGTAAAAGACAAGATGGCTCGCAGTTCTTACATGGATGCTTGGTTCATGGTTCTATGTATATGGTATCTGTCCTCTAAGAAACATTGGTACAAAATCCATAATTATTGTAACTTCATTATTGTTATTATTATTATTATTTTGCATGTATGATTTACAGTTATTAGAGCAGTTAAATCAGAACTGGTTAAAAAAAAAAAAAAACTCAGCAGTATTATTTTGCCTTTGGCCATCACAGCTTAAAAGGAAACTTTCTAGGGGGTTTTAGACACTGAATTCACCCACTTTCATCTGAATGTCAAATTATAAAAAGGGTGTAAGAGAGATTTTCCATGATGACTCATCTTTACACAAAAATATAATGGCATATTACACTGTATATATATAAGTACTGGTTTTTTTCACGTCATGTAATTATTTTTGACCTAATATGTTGCTGTAATTGACTTATATAGAGTATAATTGACTTGTGTAAAGATGAACAATGCAAAGCATTTATTTCTTATCACTTCCTTTTCCGACTAGCTGTAGCAGTGACTAAACCATGTGATTTCGAAGAATATGCACAGGGTGGAAACCACACGAGCTTATTTTAAACCATTTACACCATCTGTAATGCATATTGTTTTTTCCTTTTCTTTGCAAACTAATGTAAATTAAACCAAGACAGAATGAAAATGTTTTCTCTCCTTTTTGAAACATTAAGGCAAATGCCAGCATTATGCTTGTGGTTGATAGAGGAAGTACCAATAGCAAATCAACACTTCCTCTAGTGTCATGATCATGATGGGTGGCTTGAAATGATGTAAAATGTTTTCTCTCCTTTTTGAAACATTAAGGCAAATGCCAGCATTATGCTTGTGGTTGATGGAGGAAGTACCAATAGCAAATCAACACTTCCTCTAGTGTCATGATCATGATGGGTGGCTTGAAATGATGGTTTCCGTTATGAGATTGCATTTAAAGTTCATGAAAGATTAAATGTATTTTGTCAACAGCATTGAAGAAAAAAAAAAACTTAATGAAAGCAAACATTTCAACAGTTTTATTGTAGGACAAAATCCTGTCTCCATAATATTTAAGACCCCAAAAAACTAGAAAATACTAAGATTTCCTTTACATGTTTTAAAACAATTTTGTTCTTTTTGAACCATCACACAAAAAATAAAAACAAATACAATTTAAAAGTAATCTTTAAAAAGAAAAAGTAACTGTACACGGCAGAATACACCATTTTTCCGCAACACCCCATAGACATATTCAACTATACACACATTATTGCAGTTCACCTAACATACGCAAAACTAATCTTTTTAAACAAAATCGATCTTTCGTTATATTTCCTGTTCTGAAAAATGGTGGCTAAAGTTTCACCCTTTTGCATTTGTGCCCTTGTGCAAAAGCAGAAACTGAATCTTATATACTGTCTGATTATCTTATTTTGGGCTTAATGGAAACTATAAAAGTGTGAACAAATGAGGTGCTTGCAAAGATACAAGGAGAAAAAAAAAAAGTCTTTGTCCCACATGTATCCAGAGGGACGTTAAAGCCATTAAGGCAATGCTGCAAACATCCAAAGTTGCCAGAAGTAGTTACTGTTCTGATGATCTAGGACCAGTTATGGTTTCTCATACAACAAGGCAGGCTGGAATTTGGTGGGAAAAACAGTTCCTAAACCAGTGTCTAATTCTATAGAGGTTTCTCGGCTGTCGTTTTAAAGCCACATAATTCATTTATAGCTTTAATTGTATCATAAATCTCAATAGGACTAGCTGTGCATCCAAATCTATACAAAAATAAACCGATAGTCTTGCTTTCTCAACCGTTATGAATAGAGAAGAGCATATAGTGCCATCTACAAATGCTTGATAACGCAATTACCCCCTTTTGTACGGAGCGATATTATTACCACTGGTTTCTTCTGAAAATCCTACACTTGGGAGTACCACATCATCATTCTACAAGAGTCCAGAAGCACTTGCAAGCCAGGTTTGTCTGAAACTACAACATATTCATTTCCATTAGTCACTGAAGGGATGCGACACCATCTTTCATGAACAAGAGACATAGAAACGCCTAGTGAATCTTCCGTAGGCATCGTATTTGGAATGAGTACAGCTCAACGGGGGACCCAGCCCCATTCGAATATTGCTAGATAAGAACCAAAGCTCTGCCTTTAGTACAAGTGTCAGTTATGAATCAATAAGTTACATATATTAAGACTCCATTTAAAAGGACAGATGGAAAATGTAGATCACATAAGGCCCCATCATTGTAGGCTTCAGTCAGTCCTATTGAAACCAGCTGAATGGGAGGAAAAGGAACTTTAATATTGCTATTAAACAGCACGACTGTATTGCAAAGACATGCTTTTGAGTGTATGGTATAAACTGAACTAACTGAAAGAAGAATACAGCACCCAGAAGCACCCTCACCCCATGCTGCCACAAATTTGATCTGAAGGAAATGCTACGACATTTCTGTTCTTCCTGCTTTTATAAGAGCCCTAAGAGAAAGGGCGCTTCAGAAGGGAAAAGCGCATCTTAAGTTTGATCGTCTCACTCAAAACTAAAACTAGTCGATTAACCAGGTGTCAGCAGCAGGTCTAAAGTTAGAGCTAAAGTGTTTTCTTTGAAAACTGCTTCAGGGCTTCAAGCGGAACTCCACCTTAAAGCTGCTGTGTGACTACGAAATTTATGGACATTGTTCTCATACACTCAAAAATGACACTTAAGTTTCAAGATGCAAAACCAATCAAAAACCTCTGAACTATTGCTCAACACTATCTGAATGTAGAGCTGAGAACAAAATCACTTCAGCAGTGGTTCTTAACTTTTGTTCTGCTGATCCCCTGCTTTGTGCATTTTTGGAGGTCTTCTTTATTTATCACACCTGATTCAGATCATCAGCTCGACCCTGGACCAGGATTAAGAACCTCTGCACTCCAGTATCTCCAAGTGTGAGCTACTGTACAAACGTTCAACAGCACGGGCAGCAACAGGCGACCGGTTAACACAACCACATGCAAACACAATGCATTAGTGCACAAGTTAGACTGGGATGAAGTGTCAGTACTAGTTCACCAGTCTTGCTTATGGTCATCATGTACCATTTAAGTTTAGTTTGTGAATTTTTACTCGGTTTTTAAAACAAACTATCAATCTTGTTTTAATCCAGAATGCAAATGTACTCATTTCAAAGCAACAAAAGAAAAGTGTAAATTTTCCCTTCCCCATCACTTCAGGAAGTGCACCACTGCTTTGTGCCATTTTCTTGAAATGTCATTAAGCTACACAATTTAAAGCTCACCAACAGAGAAAGAGAAAGCACAAAGGTGGAAGATAATTATTTTTAAAAAATATCTCAAATACACAGCACAATTATCAAGGCCACAAGTCACATGTATATCCAACCAAATCTGATACCAATATTTTCCATTTAAAAAAAAATAACGGAATAAAAAAGATGCCAAAACAATGGCAATGGGCGTATGATCATGTTTATGATCATAAACTGACTGCGAACCAATCTGTGAGCAGAGAGTCTCTGTGACTGATGTAAATGAATAGTCATCAACATTGTGCTATCATTGGCCAATGATTTTCAAGCAAGGAGAACAGGGAGAAAGACAAAAAAAATCTCCATGTTAGTTTGCTTGTTCTAAAGAAAAACGCTAATTTCATCTTAAAGTAAAAAAGGTAATGTGTAAGCAACCATAACACATTTTGAAATATACCTCAAAAAAAGGAGGTCATTAAGATTGTGCCGATACATTGCTGATATGATGCTTGGATTTGGAAATCCATTAAGTGTAGTAAGAGAGCACAGTTGATTTCCTGCTTCTGTTTTAGAAAGCAGCTGGTCAAGAAAGAGTCTAACATTCTCTACAGGCAGCTTTACGGAGGAGCAGCTGGAATGGAAAAGAGGAGGGAGGGAGCATGAACGAGTAGATAAATGTAATGTGTTTGACTATATGTGTGACCGATGAAGTAATTAGGGTGCGCTCAGGAATGTGTGGAATAATGAGAGGAACTCCATGCTGGGAATGATCCTGCACGGCATCTGGGAGAGGAGCGGATCGTCTCACAGAGGCATGAGGCGTGTGGTGTGAAGGAGAAGCGGGTTCAGGTCCTCGGCGTGTACAGCACGGTGTAAAGAGGGCTCAGAGGCACTCCGCTCGATTTTTGGCAACAGATCCTGGACCTGCTCGATGCCCACCAAGATCTGAAGAACAAGCAGAGACGAAATATGAGGCTATCACTTAATCTGACATAACTGTGCTGGAAAGCAGAGAAGGGCTCTGGTTATTCTTACCTGGGGGAAGAGAGGCCGTTCATCGCGTTTGAATTTTAGACAGTCGATGATGAGCCTCTTCATTGATTTAGGACAGTTACTGTATAATTTACTGAGGTCAGGAGACAAGTAGCCACGACCCACCATGAAAATAATCTACAGGAAGAGAACAACCAAACATCATAGTTAACTTCTCCTTCTGTGCTCCAAGGAAGACAGTCATACAGTCAACATGAGGGTGAGTAAATGATGATAGTTAGGAGGATAGCTATTTTGGGCTGAACAAAGTTCATTCAAAACTATTTCGAGCTTGAACAGAAAAGGACAATCTATCAGAGTAGTGGCGTATGCCTGACCTGATCGCGGTTGTTGATATTTGAATAAGGCAAAGTCCCAGACATCAGTTCATAGAGCACCACTCCATATCCGTATACATCTGACTGGAAGGTGTATGGGTTAGTGTCTTGCATTCTGATCACCTCAGGGGCCTGAAAAACAACAGCAGAGTTAAAAAATCTGTACAAATGTACTTCTCAACAATAGATTCCGGATTAAACTACTTCACATAAGTGGTAAGCTAATAAGTATTAGATTCATTGATGAATGAGGTATTGAGCTGGGTGATGATTACTCACCATCCACAGGATGGAGCCACTGGGCTGTTCAACCTGCTGAGAGCCACTCCAGCGAGACTTTACTGTGGCCAGCCCAAAGTCACCGATCTTTACCGTCCAGCCTTCGTGCAGGAAGATATCTGACACATGAGCTCAGGAGTACCATGCAGAACAAAGAATGACTACAATATCACTAGAGAGAATGCATTAGCACTATTATTCCAGTAAATCCTCAACCTCAGCCTTCCATCTCATGCCAGTAATTTAGGTAAATCAGACCGAAGACCGAAAGCGGCTTGGCAATCTACTGGGACAGTGGTTTTGAAACCTCTCCATGAAGTACCCCCAGCACTGCACAATTTGTATGTCTCCCTACATCTGACACACCCACTTCAGGTCTTGCAGTCTCCACTAATGAGCTGATGAGATGAATCAGGTGTGATAGATGAGGGAGACATACAAAATGTGCAGGGCAGGGGGTACTCCAGGACAAGTTCTCAAGTTTGAGAACCACTGTACTAGGACATTAAGATGCAACCATGATGCCATCTACTGGCAGCAAATTACATAAATCTGATCTATCCTGCAACAGAAATCTCAATACAGACAAGAGCACGGCTAATACATTATAGAAAGGATACTATTCGATTTCAAGTCCCGATGAATGATATTCTTGGCATGAAGATAACTGTTAAGGAAAGATTAGTAGCAAATTATGCACAAAATTGAGATTTTCTACACTTCATCTACTCTCTATAAATCCAAGCATTACTGATAGACAATACAATCATATAACATTGGTGGATTTAAGAAGATGTGCCAATTTCCCATATGATTGTGTCCTTGTGACTCTGAGCTGAAAA